GGGGGAGGGTGTTCACTCTGAGACACAACAAAAGGGGCTGCACCCCAAGGGAAGGAGTAGCTGAGTCTCCGCCATGGGGGAGATCTTTCCTGGGCATCCGGGTCAAGCATACAGACTCGGCAGTCCTGAATAGTGTGGGACTCCTAGGAGTGGAGCTAAGTCTTCCTGTCGCCCCCACTCACCTCGGGTGCCACGAAGTTGGCTGTGTAGCAAGGCGTCATGAGGAGCCCGTTCTCAGCCCGCAGCTGCTTGGCGAAGCCGAAGTCACAGATGCGCAGGCACTCGGGGTTCCCAGACTCGTCCACGTATAGGATGTTGCTGGGCTTGAGGTCCCTGTGGACAACCTAGGACCAGAGAACTGGGGTCAGGCTGTGACAGGGGGGCTGGAGCGAGGTCCACTAACCGTCAGGGATGAGAAAGTTACCCAGACAAGCCCAGAGAGGAGGAAAGCCCTGGAATCCCAGAGGAGAAAAGGCTAAAAGGGGGGGTAGGCAACTGCAAATAGAGCCTTCTAGAAATCTCCATGTAGGTGTCTACTAAGTAGCTCTAACTCAATCTGCCCAACACTGAACTCCTAGTTTCTCCCTTCAGTCTAGTCATGTGAAATCTCATCTAAGGTAACTCCATCCTTCTTAGGTCTATTTTTCCATATTCTCTCTTTCTCTCTCCCACACCCCTCCCCCTCATGCCAGACTTGGGGCTTGAACTCAGGGCCTGGGCACTGTCCTTTCCTACTCAAGGCTGGTGCTCTACCACTTGAATCACAACCTCTACTTCTAGCTTTTTTTACTGGTTAATTGGAGATAAGAGTCTCACAGACTTTCCTGCCTGGGCTGGCTTTAAACTATGATTCTCAGATCTCAGCCTGAGTAGCTAGGATTACAGGCATAAGCCATTGGAGCATGGCCTGTTTTCTTATTCTCATTTTCCTCAATCTATCAATAAACTCCGTTGGTGTGCTATTAAAGTATATTCAGAGTCCAATAACTCTTGAGTCCCCATTATCCTCATTAGTCTTCCTACTTCCCCTCCTACCTCCAATAGCTTGTCTCAGCAGGTGCTAGAGCAAGCCTGTTAGAAATCGGGCCATACTGTCCAAGCTTAAAAACCCCCACGGTTTCCACTCTTCAGAGGAAAGTCCTAGTGAGGTGTGGTGGTTAGAATGCACCTACAGTGCCAGCTACTTTGGAGGCTTTGGCAGGAGGATCACTTGAGCCCAGAAGTTCCAAGGCCAGCCTGGGCAGTCAGTTAGGGCCACCAAAGCCCAGTTAGGGAGGATGAATTAGTTCAGTTTTTTTTTTTTTTTTCCTACAGTAGGATAACCACTGGTTAAAAACAATCTATGAGAGGCTGGGCCCCAGAATCTCATGCCTGTAATCCTGGATAACACTATATTCTAAAAATGACTAGAAAGGTAAGAAATTCCCAACACATAAAAATGATTAAACTGGGCACTAGTGACTCACGCCTGTGATCCTAGCTACTCAGGAGGCTGAGATCTGAGGATCCTATTCCAAAGCCAGCCTAGACAGAAAAGTCCATGAGACTCTTTTTTTTTTAATTTGAAACATTTAATGATAATCAACCTTGGTGTTGGTTTTTTTTTTTTTTTCTGCTTATGTGGTGCTGAGGAATCGAACCCAGGGCCTCATGCATGCAAAGCAAGCACTCTACCACTGAGCTACCTTCCCAGCCCCCATGAGACTTTTATCTCCAATTAACCACCAGAAAACCAGAAGTGTCACTGTGGCTAAAGTAGTAGAGTGCTAACCTTGAAGAAAAGAGCTCAGGGTCAGGCACAGGCCCCGAGCTCAAGCCCCATGACCAATCAAGAAAAAAAAAAAGGATTTATATTGCTCATAATTCCGTAACGATTAATATGGAAATGCTTACTACTGAGTTGATATTATTATACACTAAATATACAATGTATCAAATTATAAGAATAATAATTCTTTCTACTTTGCTGAGGCACAGATGACACTTGCAGGAAGCAAGGATAGAGAAGGTGGCAATCTTATGCTGCGCCGAGAAATGACTAATGACGAAGGGAACCGTGACCCCTGGGATGGGCGAGGGATGCGGCTTAGGGAAGCTGCACAGGTGTGGGTGCTGCCTGACCCGCAGCTGTGTTTATGGGGATGTGATGTCACACCTGCCACACTCACTGAGTGGAAAGTTACAACAGGCTGGCCACCTGTGAGTGAAGCCAGGCTGGGTGGGAACAAGCTAAAAGGGGCAAAAGCTCCTTGGTGACAGCTACGAGGCTGCAACTTAGGCCTGGTGTTTAACAAACACCAAATCACTAAACCTTTATTAAACTAAACTCAACATGACAAAAACACCCCACCTCTCACAGGCCAAACAAAAATAGGTGCTCAGGCCAAAAGCAACCACACACACCAAGCTGTGCCCTCTGACTCAGCTATGACGTCAGCCACAGAAGACCAGACTAGAGTGTGAGCCTGGCTTTATGACTTTCCAAGCCTCTGTCTTCTTACCTGGAAAAGGGGCTCATAACTGTGCTTAACGCCCAGGGTTGTAGGAAAGAACAGACATACTCAGCACAGGGCTTGGGAAATAGCAACTCGTCTCAGCAACTGCCTGGGCTGAACCCCGGGCAGCACTGCATGTTGAGATACAGTGACCAGCCCAGCTCTAGTGACTCACATCTGTGTCCTAGCTACAGAGAAGGCTGAGATCTGAGGATCGTGGTTTAATGCCAACCCAGGCAGAAAAGTCCATGAAACTCATCTCCAATTAACCACCAAAAAGCCGAAAGTGGAGCTGTGAGAGCTGTGACTCAAATGGTAGAGCAAAAAAATAAGTGAAATCTCAAGCAAGACCCAGTACGTACACACACATACACACACACACACACACACACACACACACACACACACACACACACCCTGTTAAAGCCTATCTAAAAAATTACTAAACAAACAAAAAAAAAGGAGCACGGTGCTAGTGGCTTATGCCTGTAATCTTAACTATTCAGGAAGCTGAGATCTGGGGATCGCAGTTCAAAGTCAGCCCAGGCAGGAAAGTCTGTGAGGCTTGCTTTCTTTCTTTCCTGGGGCTTGAACTCAGGGCCTGGGTGCTGACACTGAGCTTCTTTTGCTCAAGGCTAGCACTCTACCACTTGAGCCACACTGCCACTTCCGTTTTTTTCTGTTTATGTGGTACTGAGGAATCAAACCCAGGGCTTCATGCATGCTAGGCAAACACTCTACCAATAAGCCACATTCCCAGCCCCTGTTAGACTCTTATCTCCAATTAATCACCAAAATACTGTAAGTAGAGCTGTAGCTCAAAGTGATAGAGCATTAGCCCTGAGCAAAAGAGCTCATAGAAAAGCACCCAGGCCCTGAGTTCAAGCCCTACAACTACCCCCCCCCACCTTCCCTACCCCGCAAAAAAAGAAAAGAGAAAGGGGAAGAGCTTCTAACGGCTCTCCTGACAGGAAATTTGGGGTACTGCAAACACTGCATTTAGTGATCTAAAAGCCAATTCTGTGATGTTACTGAAACAGATGGGGTGATCAAAGGATCTGGCCCTTAGCTTCTACTGGACCCCTAGGTTATAGACAATAGCTATGTGCCAAGAATGAAAGCCCAGAGAATCCTTCCACATGCCTCCACAAGCAGCTCCCATGTCCTCCTCACTGACCCCGATATTTGGAAAGAGCCAGAAAGATTAGTGATGTATGAACTTATGGCTTTCTTCAAGTGGCTGTCTGCATCTGAGCTTGTACAACCTTGTGGAGGGGCTCACTACTTTTGCAGAGAGCTCCCGATTCTAGAAAGTTCTTCCTTACTCTAAGCCTTGGGTAACTCACTGGTAACTCAGTAACTCTGCTGTGTCTTCTCGGTTGTGGGGCTTGAACTCTGGGTCTGGGCACTGTTGCTGAGCTCTTTAGCTCAAGGCTAGCGCTCTACCACTTGAGTCACAGTGCCACTTCCGGTTTTCTGGTGGTTTATTGAAGAGTCTCACAGAAGTTCCTTCCCGGCTGGCTTTGAACCGTGATCCTCAGATCTCAACTTCCTGATTAGCTAGGATTACAGATGTGAGCCACCATTGCCTGGCTCTACTTCAGTCTCATTAGGACTGGGATTATAGGTGTCTCCCACCATGCCTGGCTCTTTTTTTTTCCCCCCAGTATTAGGGATGGACCCCAGCACCTTTCAGATACTCCTAAGTTCTGGTATGACGTCACATCCCTTAGGAGTATCTTTAACTAGTACTCACTTGAGAACAAAACAGGAAAAGGAAACACATTTGCTCTCTGATCTGACATGTTTAAATATTAGTCTGTTTGCACTGGCCACTTCAGAAACCTAAGGCACTTGAAACATGACCATTAAAAACACATGTGGTAACCAAAGTGAACCTTCAGCTAAGGGGTAAAGTTCTTCATAAAAGAACAATCCCTAATAAATTAGATGAAATCAGACATTGCCTCTAATAAAATAATTGAGCGCAAGATCCTGACAGGATGAAATTATTAGATGAAGGTCTTTTTGTGTATGTGCTAGTACTGGAGCTTGAATTTAGGGCCTTATGCTCGTGCTTGGATTTTTCATTCAAGGCTGGAGTCTATAATTTAAGGCACAGTTCCACTTCTGGCTTTTTGATGGCTTATCAGAAATAAGAGTCTCATGGATTTTTTCTTTCCTGGCTGGCTTTGAACCACAATTCTCAGATTTCAGCCACCTGAGTAGCTAGGATTACAGGCATGAGCACAGTACCCAGCTAGATAACAGTCTTCAAAATAAGGAGACAGCACTATGACTCAAATAATGGAGTGCTTGCCTTGAGCTGAAGAGCTCAGCGACAGTGCCCAGACCCAGAGTTCAAGCCCCACAACTGACAAAAAAATGAAAATAAACTAACTAAGGAGAGGGGCCTGGTACCATCTAATGGGACTAATGCAGAACAGGAAGCAGGGACTGCAGATGTGAGGCAGGATGAAAGGACATCGTGGATGGAGGAACTTGACATTTTCTTTTTTCTTTGTTTTGTCATATCCTCTTTTATTGTTTAGTAGCAGAATGCCCAACACTGAGCATAATTACAACTATTGGTTGTGCAAAAGTAGAGCTACTATATAAGTACAAATCAGAGATCTAATTTCTCTAAGTAAATACTTTAAGATCCTACAAGTGCATGAACTCTACATCTGGGAGAGAAGCTGCCTCCGCTGTGGACCAGTAATGATATCATGATTTCCCCACCCCCGCCCCATCAATACACCAAATAAGGTGCCAGTGGTCAGACAGGGTCACAATGAGCTGACCTCCCCCCTCCCCCCTCCCCAGCTCCTCTTTGTGCTGGTATACTAGGGCTTAAAGTCAGAGCCTGGGCACTGTCTTTTAGCTTTTTTGCTCAGGGGAGGAGCTCTACCACTTGAGCCAGGTGCTCCACTAACAGCTTTTTGCTGGTTAATTGGAAATAAGAATTTGAAGCTTGCTAGGGCTGGCTTAAAACCTTGATCCTCAGATCTGTCTTCTGAGTAGGTAGAGTTACAGATGTGAGCACTAACACCCAGCCAATGAGCCCTTTTTCTAGAGTCTTCCTCAGTCCTCTATAGAAAAGATAAGGACAAATTTGAAGCTGAATCTAACAGACTTTAGAGCACCTTGCACTTTACAGGAAATAGGGGCAATAGAAAATAATGCAAATCGGGCTGGGAAGGTGGTTCAGTGGCAGAGCGCTTGCCTTGCATGCCTGAGGCGCTAGGTTCGATTCCTCAGCACCACATAAGCAAAAAGAAAAAAGCCGGAAGTGGCACTGTGGCTCAAGTGGTAGAGCGCTAGCCTTGAGCTGAAGAGCTGAGGGACAGCCCCAGGCCCAGAGTTCAGGCCCCACGACCAGACCCAAAAAAAAAAAAAAAAAAAAGAACATGGCCTGCAGGGAGATAGAACATGTCACCAATACAGCCTGAGCTATCCAAGTGGGCTTCTTAGAGGTGTCATTAGAATTCTCCGTACAGGGCTGGGAAGGTAGCTCAGTGGTAGAGCGCTTGCCTTGCAAGCATGAGGCCCTGGGTTCGATTCCTCAGCACCACATAAACAGAAAAAGCCGGAAGTGGCGCTGTGGCTCCAGTGGTAGAGCGCTAGCCTTGAGCTGAAGAGCTGAGGGACAGCGCCCAGGCCCAGAGTTAATGCCCATGACCAGCAAAAAAAAAAAAAAAAGAATTCTCCGTAGGGAAGAGTAGCTGTTAGCCAGGTCATGTGGCAGGGACTCCAGCAGTGGCAGGAACATGGCAGGTTCAAGTCTTGTGAGCCATTTAGGGACAGATAGAAGCACTAACAGTGGAGGCTCAGCAGATGACAAAGGACATAGAGAGCAGGCTGGGTACCTTATTATTTTGTGGACAGCGATGGGTCATGTCAGGTGAAGTGCTGGTTTAGATTTGTGGTCTTAAAGAGAGAATGTTGAGCGACACAAATACTATAAGCATCGGCAGATTATTGCAAAGAACAAAAATATGAAGAGGGGAGAGAGGGAGAATGGAGAGGTAGTGATGGATACCCTAAATATATAGAAAACAGAAAGTGGAGTCGTGGTTCAAGTGGTAGAGTGCCAGCATTGAGCAACCTCCTCTTCCCCCCAAAATAACAAGCAGAGTTGTGAAGCTTTGAATTAAAACTCTAGTCCCACCACAAAGAAATAAAACAAGCTGAGCATCGATGGTTCATGCCTGTAATCCTAGCTACTCAGGAGGCAGAGATCTGAGAATCGCAGTTCAAAGCCAGCCTAGGCAGGAAAGTCCATGAGATTCTTTTTTTTTTGGGGGGGGGTCCAGTCATGGGGCCTGAACTCTGGGCCTGGGCGCTGTCCCCCAGCTCTTCAGCTCAAGGCTGGTGCTCTACCACTTGAGCCACAGCGCCATTTCCTGCTTTTTTCTTTTTGCTTATGTGGTGCTGAGGAATCGAACCCAGGGCCTCAGGCATGCAAGGCAAGCATTCTACCACTGAACTACCTTCCCAGCTCGGTCCATGAGATTCTTATCTCCAATAAACCACTTAGAAAACCTGAAGTGGTGCTGTGGCTCAAGTGGTAGAGTGCTAGCCTTGAGCTGAAGAGCTGAGGGACAGCACCCAGGCCCAGAGTTCAAGCCCCACAACTGAGAAAGCAAGCAAGCAAGCAAACAAGCAAGCAAGCAAGCAACATAGCTGGACACTGGTGGCTCATGCCTATAATCCTAACTACTCAGGAGTCTGAGATCTGAGGATTTCAGTTCAAAGATGCCCAAGCAGAAAAGTTCCTGTGAGACTCTTATCTCTAATTAACCACTCAAAAACCAAAAGTGGAGCTGTGACTTAGTGGTAAAGCACTAGCCTTAAGCACAAAGAGGCTCAGGGACAGTGCCCAGGCCTTGAGTTCAAGCCCCATGACCAACAAAAAGAAAGAACGAACGAAAGAGAGAGGGAGAAAGAAAGAAAGAGAGAGAGAGAAAGAAAGAAAGAAGGAAAGAAAGAAAGAAAACAAGCTGGGCTGGTGGTTCATGCCTCTGAGGATCGCAGTTCAAAGCCAGCCGGGATAGGAAAGTCCGTGAGACTCTTCTCTTCAATAAACCGCCAGAAAAACTGTAAGTGGTACTGTGGCTCAAGTGTAGAGCACTAGCTCTGAGCTGAAGAGCTGAGGGACAACAGCCAGGCCCGGGTTCAAGCCCCACGACTGGAAAGAAAGACAGAAAGAAGGAAAGAAAGAAAAAAAGAAGGAAAGACAGAAAGAAAGAAAGAAGGAAAAGAAAGGAAAGAAAGAAAAAAGAAAACAACATAAACAAAATACATAGTAAAGAGAATTGATGGGATCAGGATACAGAATGGAATGAATCAGGTTTGAAATTCGGGCTGGCATGTAGGTCCCACAGTGGATAAGCTTGGAATGTGTTAGAACAGGAAATGTGGGTTTCACTCTACACATAGACAAACTGAGCCTGAGGCATATATGGGGTGGGCTAGGGTCTCAGTAGCACACATTACCAGGTGTTCAGGAGAGCCCCTGAGCCCTTGGGACCCCAACACAACCCTTCTGTACTTCAGGAAACTGCTGAGCTCCTGGCCAGCACCAGAGCATGAGCTGCTGTGTCTCTCCCCACCACAGGACTTCATCTCCTCTGGCTTTCTCAGCTGTGAAGTGGTGAGCTGAGCGCCAATGGGCACAGAGCCCTGCTTTCCTACAGCTTTGAATCTTGTCAGCCTGGAGGCCCAAGTTTGCTGCTTCATCTCTTGGTTGCCTTTGCCAGTGCCTCCTCTGCTTCTCCATTAAGGCTGTTTGTACCTGGGCCCAGACAGGTTGGTTCTTCTCTGCTTAGCACCCAGACCAGCACTTGCCTAAATTCTCCCAGCCAAATCTAGAGATCCATGATTCACATTTTGATGTTTTTTTTTTTTGTCAGTTGTGGGGCTGGAACTCCGGCCTGAACACTGTCCCTCAGCTCTTCAGCTCAAGGCAAGCGCTCCACCACTTGAGCTACAGCACCACTTCTGGTTTTCTGGTGGTTAATTGGAGTCTCACGGAATTTCCTTCCCAGGCTGGCTTTGAACTGTGATCCTCAGATCTCAGCCTCCTGAGTAGCTAAGATTACAGGCGTGAGCCACCAGCACCCGGCACTCTCTCTCTCTTTTTTCCTGCTGGTCGTGGGGCAGGCACTATACCACTGGGCCATTTTCCCAGCCCCTTTCTCTTCTCTTTTACATCCAAACTGCCAGTAAGTGCTGTCACCTTTACAGCATACCCTACTCTGACCACAACCTCCACAAGCCAAACCAACCACTGCCCCGGTCACACTGTGCCTGCTGTCAATACTCTATGTAGCAGTCAGCAATCTGTTAATAATGTAAATCAAATCAGGGGTGCAGTTCAGTGGTGGAACATATTCACTTCTTCTTCACTGGCCACGATGGTGCATGCCTAGAGTCCCTATACTTGAGAGGATAAGGCAGGATTTCAAATTTGAGGCCAGTCTAGACTACATAGCAAGCTAGATAACTCAGTGTCTCAAAAAACAAAATACAGTGCTGGGAAGGTGGCTCAGTGGTAGAGCACTTGCCTTGCATGCCTGAGGCCCTGGATTCGATTCCTTAGCACCACATAAGCAAAAAGAAAAAAGCCGGAAGTGGCCCTGTGGCTCAAGTGGTAGAGCGCTAGCCTTGAGCTGAAGAGCTGAGGGACAGCGCCCAGGCCCAGAGTTCAGGCCCCATGACTGGACCCCCCCCAAAAAAATTGTATATACAAAATTCCTCCACATAAACAAAAAAAGAAGTGGCACTGGCTCAAGTGGTAGAGTGCTAGCCTTGAGCAAAAGCAGCTCAGGGACAGTGGCAGGCCCTGAGAGTTCAAGCTCTAGGACTGGCAAAAAAAAAAAAATCAGTTATAAAAATACATTTGTGACGTTGGTGTGGTGGGGGGGTGTGGGAGGGGGGAGGATTGGGTGGAGGGTTGAAGGGGAGGCTGGGAAGGGATGTGAAGGGTAAACAAAGGAGGAGGCTGCAATGCTTGATAAGAAATGTACGCATTATCCTGCCCATGTAATTGTAACCCCTCTGTACAGTATGTTCACAAAAAAATAAAATTAAATTAAAAAAATACATTTGTGGCTGGGCACCAGTGGCTCATACCTGTAATTTTAGCTACTCAGGAGACTAAGATCTGAGGATCGTGGTTTGAAGTCAACTGTGGCAGAAAAGTCCATAACACTCCAATTAACCACGAGAAAACCAGAAGTGGCTAGGCAAGCACTCTACCACTAAGTCATATTCCCAGCCCCCATTTTACTCTTCTTACGTATAAAGTAGGCTTTCTCACAGCACCCAACTCAGGGTTGATGTGAAACTCAATTTAGATGATGTAAGGACCAAGCATGGGCCGGGTGTTGGTAACTTACGTCTATAATCTAGCTACTCAAGAGGCTGACGTGCCTGCCTGAGCAGAAAAGTCTAAGACTTATCACCAATTAACCAGCAAAAAGCCAGAAGTGGAGCTGTGGCTAAGTGGTAAAGTACCATCCTTGAGGGGAAAAATCTAAAGTTCCCAGGGCCCCAATACTGGCACTAAATAAACAAACCCGGCACACAGTAGGCACTGAATAAACACTCCTTTCTCGTTTGTATCACCTTTTTCTTCCTCCTTCCCTTCCTTCCCTCCACAACCATCACTCCATCTACCTCTACCCACTCACCTGCCCTGAATGTTACTTGTCTGAAAACTGCCACACCTGGGCCAGCTCACAGTTCTCTCTTGGGGCAGATGGCATGACCTTGGGCACATCCTGCCCCTTCTCCTAACCTGGACTTACCCCCTGTGAGTGCAGATACTCCACAGTCTTGCTGATGGTGTGCAGGACGAAGCTGGCCTCCCGCTCCGAGAAGAACTTCTGCCGCAGGATCTTGTCTAGCAGCTCCCCGCCCCGCATCAGTTCTGTCACCAGGTACACGTGTTTGCCATCATCGTACACCTGCCGGCAACCTTGCTGTCAGGCCTGGACCTCAGTTACCAACCAGCCTCCCCATGAGCCTCAGGTCTATTTCCTGCTCTGTGCTTTAGTGGCCCTGGGCTGGGCCATCACCCAATCAGGCTCCTGTCTTCCTGCACAAGGGAGCTGTCGTGATCCCCCATAGGCAGAGGAGCTCTCGGAGAAGGCCTGAGTCTGAAGGGGAGAAGCTAAGGTGTGTCCAGGGCAGGGGGAAGCCAGGGTGGCGTTCCTCCACTCAAGCACTCAGAAGTTAAAGACATGGCTTGAGACTAGAGTTGGGAGCCTGCCTCAGTCCTGGTCTCCAGGACCCGCCCACTCACATCTTTCAGGGTGATGATGTTGGGGTGCTGCCCATACCGCAGAAGAATCTCAATCTCTTCTGAAGGATCCCGCTTGCTCTTGTCGATGACCTGAAGAAGAAAGTGGGTGCATAGAGCAGCGCTGGGGACTCCAGGTCCTTCGCTGTCAGAGCCCGTACTGCAGGCCCTGGGAGTCTCAGACACATCCCTCTCACCATCGACAGAGCCTCGGGCCCCAGCCCTCCCCACCAAAGGGCCACACTAATCAGCCTCACCCACGGCCCAACAGGCTTTGCCAAGCCATGGTCGGGGGGCCCACCTTGACAGCGTACTCCATGTTGGTGGCCTTGTGGACACAGCGCTTGCACACAGAGTAGGAGCCTACACCGATCGTCTCCTTTACCACGTAGCCATCACTAAACACCAGGTTCTTCCCATGGAGTTGCTACAGGAGACCAAGAAATGGGGTTTACTGTGGGCACACAAGTGCCAGCCGTCATCCCCAGAACCTCAACTCAATGGAGATGGTGCTGGGAAAGAGTCAGGAGGCCTGGATACTGATGGCTGTGTGACCCCAGGCAAGAACCAGCCCCTCTCTGAATCTCGATTTTCTACTCAATATCACCAGCACATTCACTAGTTCCCTGCTGGCCTGGGCTGCAGTTTGCTGGTCAGAGGGTGCATTACATTTTTTCTCTTTGTGCCAGTATTAGGGCTTCCTCACTTGGCTCTTTTTGCTCAAGGCTGGTGCTCTACCCCTTGAGCCATAGCTCCACCTCCAAATTTTTTTTGTGGTTAACTGAACATAAGAATCCCATGAACATGGGGCTGGGAAGGTGGCTCAGTGGTAGAGCGCTCGCCTTGCATGCCTGAGGCCGAGTTCTATTCCTCAGCACCACATAAGCAAAAAGAAAGCCAGAAGTGGCGCTGTGACTCAAGTGGTAGAGCGCTAGCCTTGAGCTGAAGAGCTGAGGGACAGCGCCCAGGCCCAGAGTTCAGGCCCCACGACCGGACCCCAGAAAAAAAAAAAAGAATCCCATGAACTGGGCTGGGAAGGTGGTGGCTCAGTGGTAGAGCGCTTGCCTTGCATGCATGAGGCCCTGGGTTCGATTCCTCAGCACCACATAAGCAAAAAGAAAAAAGCTGGAAGTGGTGCTGTGGCTCAAGTGGTAGAGTGCTCGCCTTGAGCTAAAGAGCTGAGGGACAGCACCCAGGCCCAGAGTTCAGGCCCCATGACCAGACCCCCAAAAAAAAAAAGAATCCCATGAACATTCCTGTCCATGATGGCTTCAAACAGTGATCCTCAGATCTCAGCCTTCTGAGTAGCTAGGATTACAGGGATGGTTCTGAGAAGCCTGGGCAAATCTCAGAGATGCAGGACCCCTGACTACTTGCCCTTTATGGGGTGTCTCAAGGTTCTGAGATTAACTATGCAGATGTTCACAGGGTGCTTAGTGTGAGCGGTATGAGGCATACATTTAAGCACTTCTGTAAGGTGGCCACATGTCAATTTGGTTTGTGACTATTGTCTATTGTCCTTGCATCTAGTCTGTTTTTGTTGTTGTTGTTGTCATGGGGCCTGAACTCTGGGCCTGGGCACTATCCCTCAGCTCTTCAGCTCAAGGCTAGCCCTCTACCACTTCAGCTACAGTGTCACTTCTGGTTTTCTGGTAGTTAATTGGAGACAAGAGTCTCACGGACTTTCCTCCCCGGGCTGGCTTTGAACTGAGATCCTCAGATCTTAGCCTCCTGAGTAGCTAGGATTTCAGGCATGAGCCACCGGCGCCTGGCTCTAGTCTGGTTTTATATTTGTCCTGGACAAAGATGGCCCAGTTGGGACAACAAATTACATAATCACCTTAGCTATAATCATAGTAACTCAGATAACCCTCACAACTCTTTAGAGAGGTTATCATGATCCTAATTTGCAGATAAGGAAACTGAGGCACAGGGAAGGTGTCTTATCCAAAGTCACTTTTACCCTGGGAGCTCTGAACCCAGGCAACAAGCTCTGGAGTCTACATTCTTGCCTCTCCTCTCTAAGCTTTCCTTGGAGCAGGGCAGTGTACAAATGAGGAAGGAATGCGAGAACTTAGTCTTCCGCCCCCCACTCCTGACCGGGCAGCCACCCCCTCACTCTACCTCCTGAGCATTCACTGGCATTTACACACACCCTGGCTCTGTGCCAGCGAGTTTACACCTTTACTCTCATCTAGTCGTCAGGGGTGAGACAGGCATCATCCCGCTTCATGCAGGGGATAAGTGAGGGTCCAGGAGCTTGGAGGCTCCCTTAAGGTTTATCCAAGGCCCATCCGCTTCTAGCACCTGTGTTCTTTGCTTCGCCTTGAGGCTTCCGGGTAGAAAAGTATAAGTGAGCAGCAGTGCCCTGCCTCACTCACCTGTACCACTGAGTTCAAGGGCGCCTGTGTGGTCCGAGGCTTCCCATCATCCTCCATGAGGCCAGTGGCCACGAAGCTGAAGCCACGGAATAGCTGATGGGCTCCAGCGCTGGGGGGGATGCCTGGGGAATCTGTAGGAACAGGAGGTGACATGAGCCTGGAGAGGTGCCCTTCATCCCCACACAGCCCAGCCAAGAGGACCCAGGAGGTCCCAGCCTGCCCCAGCATCTGACCTCAGTGGGGCCTCTCTATTCTAGGCCTTCGCCTATCTGCTCCTACATGTTTAGAGCAACCCAGCCCTGCCACATGAAGAATGTACAATTCCCACATTTGGTTTCCAGTCCAAGTTCCATTCAGACTAAGAGTCCTACTTTCTCCCTGGCCTCCCTGACTCAGGTGTGACTCTTCAGGACTTTTTTTTTGTCAGTTGTGGGGCTTGAACTCTGGGCTTGGGCGCTGTCCCTGAGCATTTCAGCTCAAAGTTAGTGCTCTACTGCTTGAGTCACAACACCACTTCCAGTTTTCTGGAGGTTAATTGGAGATCAGAGTCTCACAGACTTTCCTGCCTGGGCTGGCTTTGAACCACGATCCTCAGATCTCAGCTTCCTGAGTAGCTAGGATTATAGGTGTGAGCCACTGGGGCCCAGCTTTGCTGTTGTCAGTCATGGGGCTTGAACTCGAGGCCTGGGCACTGTCCCTAAGCCTTTTCACTCAAGGCTAGCGCTCTACTACTTTGAGCCACAGAGCTACTTCTGGTTTTCTGGTGGTTGATTGGAAATGAGAGTCTCATGGACTTTGCCTGGGCTGGCTTTGAATCAGGACCCTCAGCTCTTGGCCTCCTAAGCAGGTAGGATTACAGGCGTGAGCCACTGGCGCCTGGCTTCCCTGAGATTCTTTGCTCAAGGCTAGCACTCTACCATTTGAGCCACAGCTCCATTTCTGGCTTTTTCTTTTTTTTCTTTTTGGTCGTTGTAGGGCCTGAACTCTGGGCTTGGGTGCTGTCCCTCAGATCTTCAGCTCAAGGCTAGCACTCTACCACTTGAGCCACAGTGCTACTTCCGGCTTTTTCTGTTTATGTGGTGCTGAGGAATCGAACCTAGCACCTCATGCATGCAAAGCAAGCACTCTACCACTGAGCCACCTTCCCAGCTCCTCTGACCTTTTCTGTTTTTGTGGTACTGAGGAATCGAACCCAGGGCTTCATGCATGCAAGGCAAGCGCTCTACCCCTGAGCCACCTTCCCAGCCCCTCCCACTGGCTTCTTGAAGTAACTCCTAGGAATGAGTGGGACAGTGGCTGTGCCCATGGTCCAGATGAGTACACGGAGGGCCCAGCAGTTAGAAAGCCCCAAATCAGATTCCCACGCTTGCTCTTGACCTATGAATACTGTCAACCCTGCTCTACCAGACTCTCTCTACCGTGGTTTTGCTGGGTCAGATTCCTTAGTCCTGACCTGACTACAGGCCTGCTGTGTTTAGTCTTCCCAGTGGGCTGGGTGACGCCCACAGCAGGGGTCCTGACTCTCCCATTGTGGCCCAATCCACCCACACACCTCACCCTCTCACCCAGACACAAAGAAGCCCACAGAGCCCCAGAGTAAGAGAATCAAGCAGCCTGACACAGGCCAGACACTCACCGCCTGTCTACCCACACACTCAGGCCCGGCCTGCCAGAGTTCCTGACCATCCCTGTGTCCCCAGGTGCCCCAGTCTCCCTGTTTTGCTCTTGTACCAGCACTGGACAGACAAAATCAGACAAGGGATGTACCTCTTGGCGTGCGGGAGGTAAACTCAGTGTCAAAGTAGAAGGTGTCATCGGGCTGAGCTACAGCGGGCTTGAAGGGTGGCTTGATCTCGCGACGGTAGAGCTTCTACAAAATGGGGGTGCGGTTTCTGATCACCATGGTACTCCCACTGCCCACCGGGAGCCCCAGCTAGGAGCGGAGGTCCCAATGCCCAGCAGACAACAGCAGGACTGCTTGCCTGAGGGAGGCTGGCCCTATGCTGAAGTCTTCAAGACCGGTCATCATCCTCTACTGCTACTTCTGTGGCCATCGTCCTCAGAGCCCCCTCCCATGCCCCCTTCCTCCCCCTCTCCCCTGCACTCCATCCCCTTCCTATGGCCAGCCCTGGGGGAGCCAGGCATGGATGGCCACTCACGTTCCAGTCAATGGTGGAGTAGAAGATGTGCCGCTTGATTTCTTCTGCTCCGTCGGGGCCAGAACCTAAAAGAGCCCAAATGAAGGGTTTGCTCCAGAAGGCCCAACCCCAGGCCACCAACCCATCAGCCAAGGAGCTGCACAGAGCTCTGTGACCAGCTGCTAGGACAGGGAGCGGGGACAGGCTCACACTGCTCGGAATGTGCCTAAGACTGCTGACCACTTAGTCTTTTCTACTTCATGGAGCTTTTGATGATCAAGCGGCAATGTATACATAGAAGGAGGAGGCCCAGAGATGTCCAAGACCTTGTCAAGGTCACACAGTCAGGACGGAAGCTGGACTTATTCTGGGAGGGACAGAGGCCCCTTACACCCTCCTGATCCAGACCCCATCTCTGCTCCTCTTATCCTAGTGCCCCTCGATGACACCTTAAGAAGCTGATCATGGAGCCAGGTGAACCCACGAGCCAAGGAAGCAGACACCTATTGAACACCTACTACGTGTCAGGCCCATCCATGAGACTTCACTTAATTGGCAGAGCCCTGTGCCAGCCTGGGATCCTCAGCTCCACTGAGACAAGAAACTCAGAGCTCGGAGAGGTGAGGTCACCTGCCATGGTCACATGGCTCATACATGGTACTTATTCATTCAGCAAATATTTACGAAGGTCTGCTGTGAGCCAGGCAGTGGGGACTGACACCGCTGGGGCTGGGCCTGAGCCTTGTCATTCCTGAGCTCATGGGCCTGCTCTTGAGCCAGCAACCTTGGCAGGGAAACTATGTGGGGGCCTCTGTCCTTGTCCTCAGAGGGAGTGGAGATGACTCAGTTCCTGCCTTCCCCCCTACACACAGGTCATCACCCCCCTCCAACACCACACATGGAGCAGAAAACAGAGTGGCCCGTGGCATTGTCTGCTCACACAAAGGACAACGGTCCCTTTCAGCCCCAGATGTGACCCCATGGCCTAAGTTGCAGCTGTACCCTGCTCCCTACCACCAAGTCCCTTCCTCTGTGCTGTGGCTGCTTACCGAGCCGGTTGGCAGGGTTCCTCTTGAACAGGGCCCGCAGGAGGCTCTGGGCTTCCGTGCTCAGAAACTGGGGCATGCCTAGCTTCGCCCTGAAACAGCCCCCACATCTCATCAGGGCTGAATCCCGCCCCAGGAGCCCAAGCTCTCCTCCCCCTCTTCCAAGGCTTGTTCCCAGCTCAGTCAAGACAAGCCGGCCACTACCTCACCTCCCAAGGACTTCAAGGATCCCTCCCACAAGCCCTGGAAGAAGAAGAAGTAGAAGAAAAAAAGGAGCATGGAGGCAACGAGGGGATAACCGGCAGGCCTCCAAACCCGGGTGTTGTTGGGAGTTCCTGAGGGCCCAGCATGGGACTGGTGCTTACTTCAAAATCAAGGTCATGGTTTCCTTTCGGTCCTTCCCCTGAAAGGGCAGGGAGCCCGTCAGCATCTCAAACTGCAGAGGACAAGTTCATTTAGGCTTTGCTCCATCTGCCACGACCCCCTTCCTCCTCCTCCTCCTCCTCCAGCCACCCTCCTCCAAGGCCAGAATTCTAGCTCCAAGTCCACCTCTCCCCTCTGCCAACCCAAACCTCCAGTGACAGCGTTAGGTGCCAGAAACCAAGGAAAGGCCCTGAGCCAGGTTTGGGAGTGGGGAAGGGGGTCCCTCAGGTGGAGCCGATCCTGGGAGCTTTCCAAGGAAGGAAATTGTGACAGAATGCAGGGTGAGGAGAGCCAGGCTGTGAGAAGACAAGAGGAAAGCTTTGAGATAAGCCAACTCCCGTGCTGTCCAGAGGGGGACACTGAGGCCAGAGTCCAAGGATTCTTCACCCCTTTCTGGGCACTCACCATTAACACGCCATAGGACCACCAATCTGCACTGTGGGTGTGGCCCTGGCGGTTGACAACCTCCGGAGCCATGTATTCCACGGTCCCGCAGAACGAGTAGGCTTTCTTCTCGTGATCAATGGCCTCCTTGCTCAGGCCAAAGTCTGCAGCCAGGAGGGGGCAGAGGTCACATCTTTCGAACCCTGGCTTTCCTTGCTGCCACCCCTTACTCAACTGCCCACTCGAGAGGCTGGAGGGCATCACTTCCATGATACTTAGAAGGAAGCTGAAGCTCAGAGAGGTTAGGTGACCTGCCCAAGGTTACAGATCGAAGAACAAGGATTCCAAGACTGGGATGTTCTAAGTCTGGAGCCTGCCAGTGATCTGACCCTTTTAAGTAGCTGGTACCATCTCTCTCTCTCTCTCTTTTTTTTTTCCTTTGGTCGTGGGTCTTGAGCTCTGGGCCTGGGCGCTGTCCCTCGGCTCTTCAGCTCAAGGCTAGTGCTCTACCACTTGAGCCACAGCGCCACTTCCAATTTTCTGGCGGTTAATTGAAGATAATGGTTTCACAGACTTTCCTGCCTGGCCTGGCTTTGAACCTCAATCCTCAGATCTCAGCTTCCTGAGTAGCTAGGATTACAGGCGTGAGCCACCAGCACCCAGCTTGGTACCATCTCTTAGGAAAAATGAGCCCCCAGACCTCAGCTGAGACCTCTCGGGAGCTCCGTCCATCTTCCCCTGGGGCCCTAGGGGGCTGGGCCCCACCACTCACCAGTGAGTTTGATGTGGCCCTCTTCATCCAGAAGGATGCTAAGAGTGAAGAAACAGGAGTCAGAGGAGTCAGGGTCCCTCAGTGGCAGGTGCCCAGGCAAAAAACTCTGAGTTCTGCTGGCACCATGGGGCAGAGGAACTTGGGCCTGCCCATATGAGGTATTGCACTCAGATTGGAGAAATGGGTGGTGGAGCAGGGTCCCAGCAATGCCACGCAGGTGGGTCTACCTTTTCTGCTAATTCTTGCAACAACTGTGAGGAAAGGCCTATTACAGCCCCATTTCATAAATTTCCTGAAACTACAATTCAGGAAAGTTAATAAGCATCTCTCCATAGTCTCAAAGCTAGTAGCTGTTGGAGACAGAATTTAAATTCAGATGTACCTCACTATTTATTTTTGCTGGTTCTGGGGTTTGAACTCTGGGCCTGGGTGCTGTCCCTGAGCACTTCAGCGCAAGGTGAGTGCTCTATCATTTGAGCCACAGTGCAAACTTTCCTGGCGGAGCTGGCTTTATACCATGATCCTCAGATCTCAGCCTCCTGAGTAGCTAGGATTACAGGCATGGGCCACCGGCGCCCTGCTTGAACTCCTTCTTCTTTTTCTTTTTTTTGTTTGTTTGTGGGGCTTGAACTCTGGTCCTGGGCGCTGCCCCTCAACTCTTCAGCTCAAGGCGAGTGCTCTACCACTTGAGCCACAATGCCAACTTCCAGTTTTCTGGTGGTTTATTGGAGACAAAAGTTTCATGCATGGCTGGGAAAGTGGCTCAGGGGTAGAGTGCTTGCCTTGCATGCCTGAGGCCCTGGGTTTGATTCCTCAGCCCACATAAGCAGAAAAAACTGGAAGTGGTGCTGTGGCTCAAGTGGTAGAGTGTTAGCTTTGAGCTTTGAGCTGAGAGACAGCACCCAGGCCCAGAGTTCAGGCACCAGGACCAACCAAAAAAAAAAAAAAAAAAGAGTTTCATGGACTTTTCTATCCAGGCTGGCTTTGAACTGCGATCCTCAGACCTCAGCTTCCTGAGTAGCTAGGATTACAGCCGTAAGCCACTGGCATCTGGCTTGAGCTTCTTTTGCTCAAGGTTAGAACTCTACCACTTGAGCCACAGTGCTACTTTCAGCTTTTTCTGTTTATGTGGTACTGAGGAATCGAACCCAGGGCTTCATACATGGGAGGCAAGCACTCTACCACTAAGCCACATTCCAAGCCCCTCAAGGGATGATCTTTAATGGCAGAATCTCAGGTGTCATGTTGACTTAGCAATCAAAAGTGGACAACACAGCTGCCTGGAAGGTATCAGGTCTTGGCAATGGCAGCAAGGTGATTAGGTAGACTCTGATCACCAGAGGTAGCAGCCTGCTGTCACCCTGTTCAACCCTGCCCATTTTTCAGAGAGCCCCAGAAGAACAGCACCCACCTCCATCAGGTAGCTGTATTCTAGAAGAGGCCTTGGGAACTTAGTTCACTAAGGAGGCAGGGCAGGGAGCGCAGAGCTCTACTCACTTCTCAGGCTTGAGGTCCCTGTAAATGATGCCCAGGCTGTGCAAGTGGTCCAGGCCCAGAGCTAGCTCTGCCAGGTAAAACTTCACATCCTCTTCCGTGAACATAACCTGCAATGGGCCAGCGGCCAAAGTGAGGAGGCGCCTCTAGCTGGAGCACCCTCTTTCTCTGGAGCTGGGCCACTAGGCAGTCAGCAGCTTGTAGGGGTCCACTCTAGGCACCATACACCAAAGGGGTGTGAAGTAGGAAGTGACTAACATCCAAGCCACTCACTGTGGCATTGTTTGGTAATAACAAAAGGAGTAGAGAACTAGAACAAACCGGACTCTCCCCACATAACGGAGGGCTCTGCAGACACAAACTAGAACAAATTTAGTTCTTATATGGAGTGATTTATGACAGTCTTAAAAAGGCATGGGGCTCATGCCTGTAATCCTAGCTACTTAGGAGTCTTTGAGATCTGAGAATCTCAGTTCAGAGCCAGCCCAGACAGAAAGTATATGAGACTTCTATCTCCAACAAACCACTTAGAAAATTCCAGAAGTGGCTCAAGTAGTAGTAGAATACTAGCCTTGAGCAAAGGAAGATCAGGGATAATGTCCAGGCTGAGTTCATGCCCCAGGACTGGCACTAAAAAGCAGGTGTGGGGGGGCAGGGAGTGAAGGGGGTAATGGGACACAGTATATACAGAATGATACATTTTACCCAAGAAGGTGGAGGTAAAGATTCAGAACATTATTTGCAAAAGGCACATGGGAAACCAATGTGAAAGAAACCAATGGAAATGCTTTACCTAGAGGTAGGGAGATAGAAGGGAATGAGATGAAAAAAGAGGAAGACTGCGGTTATGTGTGTATGTGCCAGTCCTGGGGCTTGAACTCAGGGCCTGGGGGCTGTACCTGAGCCTTTTCACTCAAGGCTAGTACTTGAGCAAAAAACAAAATTATTGGTTTTTTTGTGTTTTTTTTTTTGGTGATTAATTTGGAGTTAAAAGTCTTTTTTTTTTTTTTTTTTGGGTCCGGTCGTGGGGCCTGAACTCTGGGCCTGGGCACTGTCCCTCAGCTCTTCAGCTCAAGGCTAGCGCTCTACCACTTGAGCCACAGCACCACTTCTGGCTTTTTTTCTTTTTGCTTATGTGGTGCTGAGGAATCAAACCCAGGGCCTCATGCATGCAAGGCAAGCACTCTACCACTGAGCCAACTTCCCAGCCCTGGAGTTAAAAGTCTTATGGACTTTCTGGCTCAAGCTGGCTTCGAACCACCATTGTCACACCTTAGCCTCCTGAAGAGTGTGAACTACCAGCATCCCGCCTTGAAGATTTTTTTTTTTTCTTTTGGGTCCAGTCGTGGGGCCTGAACTCTGGGCCTGGGCGCTGTCCCTCAGCTCTTCAGCTCAAGGCTAGCGCTCTACCACTTGAGCCACAGCGCCACTTCCGGCTTTTTTCTTTTTGTTTATGTGGTGCTGAGGAATCGAACCCAGGGCCTCAGACATGCAAGGCAAGCATTCTACCACTGAGTCACCTTCCCAGCCCACCTTGAAGGTTTTTTTAAAATAATTTTTACTGTTTTACTTATTTATTTATTGTTTATGTGGTACTGAAGAATCAAACCCAGGGCCTCATGCATGCTAGGCAAGCCCTCTGCCATCTACCACTAAGGCACATTCCCAGCCCCTGGAAGTCTTTTTGTTGTTGTTGTTGTTGGTCATGGGGCCTGAACTCTGGGCCTGAGTGCTGCCCCTCAGTGCTCAAGATGAGCACTCTACCACTTGAGCCACAGTGCCACTTCTGGTTTTCTGAGTGGTTTGTTGGAGATAAGAATCTCACAGCCTTTCCTGCCCGGGCTGTCTTTGAACCGCAATCCACAGATCTTAGCCTCCTGAGTAGCTAGGATTACAAGGGTGAGCCACTGACGCCCAGTGTAGTTCAACTATTTTTGTATAACATGCAGGACAAGAACGCTAGTCTATAGTTTTCTGGGGACATTTGGACTTCTCCCCTGTGCTCATGTCCTGCTTAGCACAGCACTGGCAGCATGGATGTGGTAAGGGGCACCCTTTGCTCTGTAAAATCAAGGTGGCATCAGATCTAGAGGCTTTCTAGGGGTGGCCTCTGTACTAGGGCAGGGGACGTTTCCAGGGTCAGAGGCCGCCAGGACGGGCTGGACAGTTAGTTATAGCACCAGGCCACATCAGATATATTCTTCACAAGGCCCTGGAATAGAAGACTGTTGTGTCCCCAGCTCCATCCTGGGGCCCTCTGGCAGGATGAATGTCAAATGTCAGCTCACCTCTTTTGAGAGCCGAGTGAAGAGGTCACCACCACGTAGGAAGTCCAGAATAAGATAGAGCTTGCCCTCTGTCTGGAAGGCTGAGAAAGGGGAAGATCCATACTGGTGTCACCTGAGTTGTGAACTGTTCCTCCAGCTCTGGCCCTTTGGCCAGACAGGTGGGAAGTAGGACAAGGTACAGAGAAGGCAGCAGACCATGGGAAAGGGCAAGCTGAGAGGGACAGGAATCTGTGGGATTCCTGGGCGGGATCTGTGTCTCACCATAATGTAGCTTCACCACAAATGGATGGTTGACATCAGCCAGGATGTCTCTCTCCATCTTGGTCCGAACGCGGTCACGCACTGGCCAAAAGAGAAAGGAAGTCACCAACATAGCCACTCTCCCAGCCCAACTACAGGCTCCCTTTTCAATTATTCCTCCAAGCCTGTGCTTCTGAGATTCTCCCAACCACAGCCCTGCGGATAATCAATTTCCTTCTTCCTCCCCAGACCATTCTGGCTTTCTCAGTTCTGGGCCTGACCTCTACTTCTGCCTCTCATGGCAAAGCCCAATGTCAGGACCCAGTACTTCACCCAGAATTCCAGCCCTTTCTCCCACCATATCTCATATCAAGAGCCACTGAGCAACTAGAACTCCACTGTGCCCTATTTTCTGAGGTCCTTAGACTTTGACTCTGTGTACCTTTAACAGCTTCCTCTTCATCAGACATAAAAATTCCCTAGTATTGCTGGGCGCCGGTGGCTCACGCCTGTAATCCTAGCTACTCAGAGTTCAAAGCCAGCCTGGGTAGGAAAGTCCATGAGACTCTTATCTCCAATAAATCACTCAGAAAACCAGATGGGGCACTGTGGCTCAAGTGGTAAAGCGCTACCCTTGAGCTGAAGAGCTGAGGGACAGCGCCCAAGTCCAGAGTTCAAGCCCCAGACCAAAAGAACTAAACAAAACAAACAAAAAAGCTTAACAAAAAGGAAGAAAAAACATTGCCCAGTAATTCTATCAGCAGGCTCTTGGCTGATGTGATTCAGGTCTGGCTTTCTTCCCCACTGGAGGCCGCTTTGCCCTTGAACCCTTGGATGGGGACTTCTGGGTTCCCAGTGCTGGGCTTCCCCTCCAGAGCACTTTTTCTTTGCTTCAATTCTTGCATTCCCCTTACCAAATGCAGCAGGTCCTAGGAGGTAATTAACTACCCCAGCTGTTTCCAATACACCTTATATTTCAACCATCTCAGGCAAACAGCTCCTCCTTCCCAGATGCCCTTTCTCTATCACCTTGGTCAAGATAACTCCTAATCCATTCCTCAAGGCGTATCTCTCATGGCTTCTCTTCTGGTGTATCCGTGACCTCTCAGCAGTTTCTGAAAGGCTGCATCTCAGCCCACTGTGCTCCACAGTCTTAAGACAGCCATACACAAGGGTCACAGGACCATTGCATGGCATTTGCAGGGCATGTATAGATAACTTTTTTTTTTTTTTTTTGGTCCGTTACAGGGCCTAAACTCTGGGCCTGGGTGCTGTTCCTCAGCTCTTCAGCTGAAGGCTAGCACTCTACCACTTGAGCCACAGCACCACTTCTGGCTCATGCTGCTTATGTGGTACTGAGGAATCGAACCCAGGGCCTCATGTATGCAAGGCAAGCACTCTACCATTGAGCCACCTTCCCAGCCCTATAGATAGCCTCTTGCATCCAGCCTGTGAGACCTGTTCATATGAGATGTCTTTTCATCACTCTCTATGGCTCTGGGGAGTGACCCCTGTCCATCAGGCTGCACAAAAACTACCATCGCCTTGCAGATCCCTCATGGGCCATAGAAGCCATCCACTCCTAAGGCTGAACTTTCCCACTTCCCCTACACTCCAATCAAGGCTTGGCTTAGACTGCACATGATCAGTGGACACACTGACTTTGCAGGCCAGTCACAGTCAACATCTGACCCTGAATCCACTACCTTCACATCCTTTTTACGTTCCTAGAATTTTAGACCTTGGCTTAGATCCTCCTCCTGCAGAACCTCTCTTCCACTCACCTCTGTAGCCCTGTCTCCACCCACCCTCTAAGCCAATCTACCCCCCACTGGGCTCCACTTCTTTCACACCCTTGTGTACCCTACAGCCAGAGAAATCTCCCTCAGATTCTTTTTTGTTTGTTTTTTTGGGTCCAGTCGTGGGGCCTGAACTCTGGGCCTGTGCGCTGTCCCTCAGCAGGCCTGGGCACCGTCCCTCAGCTCTTCAGCTCAAGGCTAGGGCTCTACCACTTGAGCCACAGCACAACTTTGGCTTTTTTCTTTTTGCTTATGTGGTGCTGAGGAATCGAGCCTCATGAATGCAACGCAAGCGCTCTACCACTGAGCCACCTTCCCAGCCCCCTTTATTTTTTTTAATCAGTCGTGGGGCTTGAACTCTGAGCTCTTCAGCTCAAGACAAGTGCTCTAATCCTTGAGCCACACTGCCACCTCCAGTTTTCAAGTAGTTAATTGGAGATAAGAGTCTAATGGACTTTTTTTTTTATTTTTTGGGTCTGGTCATGGGGCCTGAACTCTGGGCCTGGGCGCTGTCCCTCAGCTCTTCAGCTCAAGGCTAGCGCTCTACCACTTGAGCCACAG